GTCTGCCGCTGACTCTCAGATTTTCTGAACATGATGTTTCAGGAATATGTTTGGTTTTCAGTAGGCCCCTTTCAATGAACTCCAACGAATGTGTTGCAAAATTGGAAGGCTTCCCCCTGACCAGCCATTTTTCGCAAATCACCTTGGTCTGTCCCCGCATTCAACGGGTACGACACAGCGACTTTGACTTGGAAGATCGCAGCAATTATTGGTCCCAAGTAAAGGTTGAGTTTTCACTGAGCATCAACATTTAGTCCAACTTTTAGGTTGCCACTCATCTCAACCATATGAGGAGAGGTTGCAGGGTTTTTTCCCCCAATACTGGGCCACAACGGGTGACTGGCGCGCACAGGGCATTTCTGAGCTCCAAAAGCTGGGTAAGGAGTTGCTGGGACTGAAACCATGGGGATGACTTAGCATGGTGAAGACAAACCCTTAATGTTCGCAGAGCAATAGCAAACCATCCCCAAAGATACCATAAATATCCATAAATGGCATACACCATCAACATATGGATGGTTTATGATGGTTTATGGCATTGCTTTACTAACATGATTCGTGAACCCTCAATAAACTCTTGTTATTGGAAACCATGAGTGGGGTTCTGCAGGATTTATTGTATCCAATTCTGATAAAGTAATATCAAAGACAGAAACGATTGGATGTTTGATTCTATTTCCGGCAGGGTCCCAGTTGTTCACACTATGCCTATGAGTGCCTTCAAACAGCAACACTGTCAGAGGTAGACTCAGTTGGGAACACACGATACATCAACGTTTCTTCATAGTCTTGCATATTCTTCCATAGCTTTGTCGGTCAAACATTGTCATTACTGTAAATCCCTTTCATTTCCGGTCAAACTCACCTTTTTTTGTTGCTTCAATTTGCCAATGTTTGGTGTCCACTCTCCCAAAACCACTCGTCATTGTATATAGTTGGGCCAAGTTGGGTTCAACTTCCCGTCTGAGTTCGTAAGTGAATGATAAACCTGTATGTACATTATTAAATTATCTATATCGCAAATCATGATATATATATATAATATTCTTATATATCTCATACTGTGGATGGAAATCCTGCCCCAGTACACTCTTCTTTTTCTTCAGGTGGCTTCCACCTTTCAATCTTAAACAAGGAAGCGCCAGGGTTTGTAGCATCATCTGATGGTGGTGCAGGATTCTTTCCACCCACCGCATCACTTTATATAATTCACAATATATATATATATATCTATACACCCATATATATATACATATATATATATATACACCCATATATATATATACACATATGTATATGTATATGTATATGTATATGTATAAGTATAAGTATAAGATGTATATGCAATGCTACATATGTATATATATATGCATACATATACATATAAATATCATATACATGTATTATGTGTGTGTCTACATATAAAAAATATACTATGTATATATATATATATATACATATTAATTAAAGATATACATAGACCACTGTCGATTCAGGTTGGACTTCGACACGGCCCTGCTGACCTCGCTGCCCAGTGCCCTGCAGAAGGACCCGGCGTCGCGTGGCACCTTCGACAACGTGGTGGTGACCAATGTGGAGGACGAGCTCCAGAAGAGGCCCCCCAAAAAGGGCCCCCCCTTTGGGGGATGAGATGGGCGAAAGTGGGGCAACTAAGAAATCTCCCATCTTTATGGTGATGAACCAGCATTTTCTGGGAAATTATGGGAAACTCATGGGGATATATGGATATGGAACTAGCAACATTGATATTTGGGTGTGTCTGAAAATCGCAAATTGACCCTGAATTTATATCGCCTTTTTCAATCAGGATGCCCATCATGAAATTTCCCTTTCAGCAGTGGTGCTCATCATGATTTCCTCCAGAAGAGGCCCCCCAAAAGGGGCCCCAAGGATTGTTTTCCCAAATGGGTTTGTCTGAAAATAGGGTATATTCCCAATGAAATAGCCATTTAATAGGGATAATGATCAGCAAAACCATTGGGTTTAGGGGTACACAACATTTTCAGACACACCCGGTGCTCAACTACCATGGCTTTTTCGGGGCTGAAGACTCCCCCCGCAGGCTGGCCAAGCTCAAGGAGACGCTGGCTGAAGCCGCACCTGCGCGCGAGGAGCGTGCCAGCAAGGTGGGCCTTGTTGCTGTTGATGTGTCAAAAAAAAACAAAAGTAAGGGGATTTCGAGCGGAAAAAACATTGAGAGGTCAGGAAGAATTGAGATTTTGATCAATAAAAACTTGGAATTGCACTCTTCTTTTTGGAACTTGTTGCATATTGCAGGCAAGAATGATGATTTTAACCCAAAAAAGAAGGTGGGTGGGGATTTTTCCAGCAGTAACAAGCAAGAATTGGGACAACACCAGCACACATGAAGACACAATTGCAAGTAATTTCTTTTGCTTCGCAATAATGTGGAATCCAAACTAGCAACGATGGGAGCCGCACTGGTGTATTATGGTGTATTCTTGTGCGCCACCACAATTTTGATCCTGGTGTTGCCGCGGCCGCAGGTGGCAACCTGTGCCGCAGCCGTGGAAGCACTGAAGGTGAAGTTGGAGAGTATGGAGAAGGCACCGCAGCAGTGATGGCGCTGTCGTTGGGCTTTTTTTTTTAAATCACAAGTAGCAATTCCAGAGTTTTCATTGGTCATTTTTTTTTTGGTGATGTTCATCCAATTATTTGAGGGTATTTTCTGTGAGCCGGCAGGTGATCCCTGGCGAAAGGGATGATTTCTTGTTAAGACAATTTGCCCATGTACAGAGAGGGTCTATTTCCACCCCAAAAATTCAGCATCTTCCTGTAAGTTTCATTGGACATATTGCAATTCCCTATAAGTTTTTGGTAATCTTTGTCTTTTCAATCAATGAAATTAGCTTTCAGCCATGTAGAGGTTGCAGGATGCCAGGATTTTTGGCCCGACTGGATCATGCCTGAGTTGCCGTTTGGTGGTGCTACAGATATTCCTTCACACCTCTGGCACACCTTTAGAAGATCATGAAATCTTTGTCCCACCTGCATACGTCTCAATCGAGCCGAAGGCATCACCGTCCCATTCCCATAGATTGGTAGATTTTTAGTAGATGTATACTATATTATATATATATACCGTCCATTTTTTCAAGACTTCCCCATATTAGATATCAGAGGGACGGAATGTATACACATTTTTACTTGGTGAAGTTAATTCCTTCTATATCAATCCCAAATTAAATTCAGATTTTTCAGGATGTCCCGTGATTTTTCATGATTTCCCCAGATTTCTTGATTCATTACCCGCTTCAGCCTAGAGATAGCCATCAGGCCTCCAAGGATGCCGTAGCTGCCATGAAGGAGGCCGATGGCAAGAGTAAGGCGGCAGCAAAGGCGCTGAAGGCGCACGGAAACCTCTGTGAAGCCTTGGAATTTACCAAAGAAAAAATGATGATATGATGATATATGATGCAACTCTAAGCCGTAAACGAGTTTTTTTTTTCATTTTTCCTGAGGACTTTGGGTGGTTTCTTGGGTGGTTTCTTGGGTGGTTTCTTGGGTGGGGAGGTAGGTTGCTTGATGTTGGGTGATGGTTTGTTGTTGAGCGTAGCTTAAGAGGGCCTGTTGACTGCGTGTTGCATAGTTGTGGGGGTGGTTTGGTACAATTCGCTTGCAGCATGGTCACTCACCAGTTCCGAGTTTATTTGGACAGTATGACTGTATATCACCATCTAATTTCACAACAGATTACACACACACACAACAAACAGGTAGATAAGATACATTATATAGATATATGTAAAAACACGCCACCATTTGATTTATATACAGTAAGATTTTTAGAAATTTAGGCGTCTTTTTAGAATAGAACGTGGTGAAAAATCCATCTTCAGTGATCCACTCTGGAGGCTTTCGGACCTGAGATCAAGGCCACTGGCAAGGCATTGAAGGATGCCAAGGAGCAACCGGGGGGGGATCCATGGGGATCCACGGGGGATCCGCTGATGCTGATCTCCTTGTTGAACATATTAAAAACCATGGTTTGGAGTATGGGTTTGGAGAAGGATTTTAGGGATAAAAGTGGGAAACTTTGGGGACAATTTTGGACGTGCTGCGTTGGATCACCCACAGAGTTTCGGATGTCTGCGGAGTTGGGCTGGGATGAGGGTTTCGCAAAATGGAGAGGACCACACAAAATCCGGATCACCCAGAACAAAATCCATGATTTCAGGATACTTAGCGAAAGCGCCTGGTTGGATATCCGGATGCCCTTGGAGCATGGCTTCTCCTGCAAGCATTTTCCATGTCCCGTGGCTTTGGATCTTGTCTCCGCGAGGACAGCTTGGAGGACTTCACCACTGGCGTTCCTGAGCAAAACTGGGCGCCATGTTTCGTGGATGTTTTCTCTTCGGGACAAATCATCCAAAACAACCAGCCAGTGGTAGAGCCAGTGCCATAAACCTACCATTTTGACGGGGGATGATGGGATTTCCACATGTTACCCATTGATGGTGATATTAGAATTATTAGATCCCCATGGTTGATTCGAGATCTAATCTGTGGGGTTGTTTGCTGGCCAAAAGTTTAATTTCGAACTTAATCTTTGGACTATAATGGTATTGGTTACGTATATAAAAGATATATATATAATTATAAGGAACCCTCAACAACCTGTGTGTGACACACATTGCTATGGTGAGTATTCTATACAAGGATCATCACATGTACTGTATATATATGGATGAATATACTATACCGACCTCACCGTGACGTCACTGGAATGATTATTAGTAAGGGGCATCATCCCCAAATGGCCTAATGCCAACACTTCAGGCATTTTCGGGCTTGCGAATTCTTCTAATTCAACCAGATAGTATATTTCTACAACATAGTTAGTTATAGCTATTCTAGTAACATAGTTTTTTTTTTAAAAATATCTGATAGTGTTATATTTCTATAACATAGATTGTTATAGCTAGTAACATAGATAAAACAACCATCCTCCCGAGGCCATGACCAGCTTCACCGAGCTCCTGAACCGCACCAAGCCGCTGCCGGAGCCCGAGGTGCCGGCGGAGGCGGAAGCGCCGGCCGCGGCCAGCTGAGGCCAGCCGTTTTCGGGGATGGGATGGATTCTTGCGATGGGATGGGGATGGGTGGAAACCACCAAGGCCTGTGTATACAACATGTTATATTTAATATCTAGAAACCTATAGATACCATTATACGTATACTAAGACGCAAGTTCATGTAACATGGGTGTGATGTAAATTTCTCATTTTCCGAGATATGGGTACAGACTTCCTTGATGTATACGCGTAGGTATAAAGCAGAAAGCATACACATGTATATGTCATACATCTTTGTAAAGAATAGATACGTGTCGATATATGTTTGCGTTTTCCCCAACGGTGCATGAAAGATAGCGATAGTGCTTGAATCTCTGGCTCATGTGTAAATCTATTCCCCAGCCTAACATCTCTGGCGGAGGCGCCATGGGGATCAGCAATTGATGCAGTTGATGCATCGAATTGCACGGCCGTCAGTCGTGATTTGGAGCCATTGCGAAATCTAGAAATTGATGGTAGAAAAGGTTGCAACAGGGGCAGTATCCCGCTGATTTTCAGAAGATGATGGTAATGACTGGCATGATTTTGTGGACAGAAATGTGAGACCAAAAGGTCCTGATCCGACGACTGGTACCATATAAAATGGTGAAATCAACATATTTTTATGTGACCTCAAGCACCATGACTTTGGGAAGACCATCATTCCCGGAGTCGAGATGGTGAAGCGGTCGAGAGATGTCGAGAGGGATTGAGTTCAAATATATAGAGCATGTGATGATCAAATTCCCCAGGATGCGCGTAGCCAAAGTTACACCACAGAAAAGTTCGAAAGGAATTGTGCGGCAAAAACTCGAAAGTCGACCGTTTTGAGTTGGCGTGTCCGGGTAACCCTGGACCTTCCAACAACTTTCCATGATTTGCTTTATTCTGAGACGCCTGTCTCGCAGATGTACCATAGCTTCTTGCACGTCTCCAGGGTCTGCAAGTAGCACAGATGTTGTACACCCTGCTGTGGGAAACAGTGGGAACGGGCACAAAACAGGTCTTTCAAATGTTCGTCGCGTGGGGAATGCATTGGCTTGCTTGCTCGCTTGGTTGTTTTCATACCTTTATATACGCATATTGACATCTACATTTCGAATGGTATGTCACCAGTCTATGTGTTTGTGTCCTTATATTGTGTTCTTATATATATAAACATATACACGTACAAATAGATGCATATATATGTATATATATATACATTTATAAAATATAATCACTATAAACATATTATGTATGCGGAATCAGCGTATGAATGTAGACATATTATGTGTATGTATATATATATAATATTAATATATGTATTTTGAGGTGTATTTGTATGATTTTGTATGATATTAACATAGATTTCTGCATCCGTGTAACATGAATATGCATCCGCCACTTAAGTGGTGCACTTTCCGTTACAGATTTATATGTAGCCATAGGTATGTAGCCCCTGGGACCGGTGAGATGATCATCCACCAGGTTGGGACATCGAACCTCCGCAGCTTTGAGGTTTGGAAAATTGCCCCCCGTTTCAACATCTTTTTTTTTTGGTCATAATCAAAGCAAAAACATGAGAGGGGCTTAACGTTAGGTGTGACCCATAAATCATGGGTGGTTGATGGCATCTGGTTCAAACTGATTCTCAAGGGTCTTGCTTGGACATGAAAACCATATCTACGCGCCATGAGAACTCAACTTGCCACCCCAAATCCGCACGTCGTAAAAAGGCAACCCATTCGTGAGCAAAAACTGCCGCCATGGATGATGAAGATGTGGATGTCTACTTTGCCAAACATGATATCCAGAGCGTGGTGAGCGACATCCTGTATCTGGGTAGCACCGTGCATCTGGCTAGAATGCAAAGGGTCTTGGTGAGAATGTGTTGCAAATCATCGGTGTTTTAAGAAAAATAATCGCCACCCAAAAAAAATTGAAGGTCCACCACGTGAAATTTTACCAAACTTCGAAGCATGGGGGTCAAAACTTCCAATTTTGGATGAAAAGGTACGAGTTGGGCTACCATCGCCCAGAGGCCAGGGGCGTCTTCCATGTTTTGGTGTTTTTGGATCATGTGGGCTAGTTTTAGCCATTTCTTGAATATGGCTCAACGTTTTTGACAAGCAAAATTGGGTGTCGTTGAATGCAACACTTGGCCGGGGGTCCGTGGGTCCGTGGGTTCCGCGTTTTGGCGTGATGCTGTGCAAACTGTGGTCGACAAAAACCGAGATTAATTGGTAATGAAACATCCCCATTAGCGGGGATTTATCGACCCAACATCAGTGAATTCCCCAAAGTGGAAATTCAACTATTTTTAATCGGTCAATACAAGTAAATCATCCATAAATGCCCCATTTTCCACAGTTATCTTAAATTACCAGAGGGTACTGTAGTTCAATATGTTTGCTGCTTTGACCGTGGCAGGAACTGGGACCTTTCTTGGCCAACTATGTGGAGAGACGCTTCGGGGAGACCAACATCAAGCGACGTGTGCTGACTGCAGGATGAAGTAAACATTACCAGGTATATAGTGGGTATAGAGCGCATCCATGCATACATAAAAATACATGCATACATGACATACACGACATACATGACATACATGACACACACCACACAAATGACATACACGATATACATGGCGCACATGACACACACATGAGACACATGATATACATGACATACACGAGATACATGACATACATGACACACATGGCGCACATGACACACATGACATACATGACATACATGACATACACGACATACATGCCATACATGACATACATGACACATACCACACACATGACATACGTAACGCACATGACGCACATGACACACATGACGCACATGACATACAGGACTTGCATGACACACTTGACATACATGACATACATGACATGCATGGCAAATGTGGCATACATGACATACATGCCATCCATATATACAAGCATGCATGCATGCATGCATGCATACAGACAGACAGACAGACAGACAGATACATACATACATACATTACATTACATTACATTACATTACATTACATACATACATACATACCCACATACATACATACATACATACATAGATACATAGATACATACATACATACATACATACATAGATACGTACATACGTACATACATACATACATAAATACATACATACATACATACATACATACCCACATACCTACATACCTACATACGTACATACGTAAATGCATGTAAATATTTATGTTTTCATTTACATACACGCATACATGCATACATACATCCCATCCATCCATCCATACATCCATCCATCCATCCATCCATACATACATACATGTGCATGTACATAAGCATATACATTGACATATGCATATACATTTACAAATACATACAAATACATACAAATACATACATATACATAGATATACATAGTCAGAAAAATACATACATATACATAATCATACATGTACATATACATACATACAGACAGACATACATACAAACATAATCAAAGGTAATCATACATAGTCACAAATGTCGTACATATCATACTTATCGTGCATACCAAGCATATCATACATGTCGTACATAGCGTACATATCGTACATATCATACAAAGATACATACATACATTCATCCATACATACATAACTAACCATAGATAATCAAACATAGTCATGCATAATCATACATAACCATACATAATGATACACAATAATAAAGAATCAAACATAATGGTTCATAATGGTTCATAATGATCCATAATGTTTTGAATTCGTACATAGTTATACATATACATACATATATACTCATACATACTCATACATACTCATACATACATACATACATGCATGCATACATACATACAAACATACATAAATACATACATACAAACATACATACATACATGCATACATACATACATACACAAACATATACAAACATATACAAACATATACAAACATACAAACATACACATACAAACATACAAACATACAAACATACAAACATACAAACAAACCGACAAACCGACAAACATAGATACATACATACAAACAAACAGACAAACACACATACAAACATATATACATACATTACATTACATTACGTTACGTTACATTACATTACATTACATGCTCATACATACTCACACATACTCATACATACTCAAACATACATGCATACATACATACATGCAAGCATGCGTGCGTGCATACATACACAGATACACATACATACACATACATATACATGTACAGATACAGATACATATACATTTACATATACATTTACATATACATTTACATATACATTTACATATACATTTACATATACATATATTAATGTACATATATATATATATATATTGTGTATATATAGGCTCGTCCCAGGTCCTGGAACCACATACGATGGGGTGGGATGTTAACGTTCATGTGAACTTGCAGAAGCAGTTGATGCTACGCACACGATGTGGTGGGGGGGTGGGGTGGGATGTTAACGTTCATGTGAACTTGCAGAAGCAGTTGATGCTACGCACACGCGGGGTGGGGGGGGATGGGGTGGGGGGGAATGGAGTGCGGAGTGTTAATCGTTCAGTGAACTTTCGCAGAAGCAGTTGATGACCTACGCCCACGCGGGGATGGGGTGAGGGGGCGGACGATGCGCCGGTGGGCAGTTAACGTTCATGTGTGAACTTGCAGAAGCAGTTGATGCTACGCACACGCGGGGTGGGGTGGGGGGGTGCGATGGGGTGGGGTGTTAACGTTCATGTGAACTTGCAGGGGGGGAAGTTAACGTTCATGTGAACTTGCAGAAGCAGTTGATGCTACGCACAAGGCATACATATACGAGGCTATATATACACATGCATATACATACATACACATACATTTACATATGCATGTACATTTACATTTACATTTACATTTACCTATACATACAAATACATACAAATACATACATATACATTCATATACAGTTGCAGACATATACATCAACATATGCATATAGAGATATACACTACATACATATACATTACATACACATACACATACATGAACATATACATATACCTTTACATATACATTGACATTGAATTTACATATACATTTACATATACATTTACATATACATTTACATATACATTTACATACACATTTACGTATACATTTACATATACATTTACATATACATGTACATATGCATATACATATATACTACATACATATACATATACATATACATTTACACTTACATATACATATACATTTACACATACATATCCATGCATATAAATACATACAAATAGTGGGTCCATACAGGTTACTCTGAGATGGTCAGATAGATAAGATTCTCAATGATCCAATTAATCCAATTATATTCTTTACATGATTATCCATTGATGTGTGTGATCAAAGTCCTACAAAGAGAGGGCTACACTTGGATACTTGGTCTACACATATATCCCCAGATTCTTTGACGTTTAGTGCCGGCGCTGGGTGGCTGTGAGATTTGTACAGATGGGGGCGACTGTTCACAAATAGTTTGGTTCCTTTCGGAACGGCAACTAAGATGGAACCTCCAAAATGGATTTGGACCTTGATTTTCTACCAGTGAAGTATCAGTAATTGGGGGATGGCGGGAACCACCGGCAGGAAACTACATCATCCCCTCAACACTGGCGACCAATGCGGTTCTCGTTTTCATGCTTTGCGACATGGACACAAGGATATAGTATGGGTTTGTTTCAAAACAGTTTGCAGCCTCCAAAACCCACTAAAAATATAAGAATATATTAGATTGTATTAGTATATCATCATTTCTCCGTATTTCCTCATCAAAATGGCCCTGAATTGAGGGTTTCCTCCATAAATTGAGACCCCTTGGGTCTCCAGCAGTTTTCGGAATAAGGCGCTGGGAGCAGCATCTGTTCCGTGCTGAAGGGTTGCGATGCGGTGATGGTCGAATCGGGCGGCAGACAACCCAGCTCTGAGGCGCAGATGATGGCATTTTTTGTTTAGCAACCCTCAACATGTTGCACATGTTATGGGTGATTTTTCATGTTTCACCCATGACCTATGTGGTTTTCTGCCATCACTATTGAATTTTCTATAGCCAGAATGACGACAAGAGCAGAAGAAATAGCGGTAACAGCAACCGTTGTATTGACAATGATAGTGATGGCCAAAATGAGGACAATAGTCAAAATAGTACTTACACCATTTACAACATCTTACAGCAAGGAACATAAATGGCAACAGTACCATATAATACATGATAATGATTCATGATAGTGATACTAACGACAAGACTCAGGATACAGTAGTACATTGTGGCGGAAACCATGGGAGCTTCGGCTTCAAAGCTTCAAATCGATTCAGGAACCACGCTGTCGATGCTGTCCCAAAGAGAACTTCCCCAAAGATAGAACAGCGAATAGCAAGATAGTGGCGGGTGACCTTTCCATTGTGTTGGGCTTACTATATTCATCTACCCTCTGGTAAACTAACATAACTATGGAAAGATCCACCATTTTTAATGGGAAAATCCACTATTTCTATGGTCATTTTCAATAGCTACGTTAAATTACCAGAGGGTACATACCAAAAATAGAAAATTATACAATAAGAATAGCAGGATCAGGCAGCCAATTCGGTCACTGCCGTCCAGGAGCTGGCTGCGGGGCAAATGCTTCTGGAGATTCGTCAGCTGCGGCGGAAGTATCTCAGCTTCGCCCCGCAGGCGGCACGACGGGCGAAAGTTGGACCCGGTATTTGTTTCCACCAAAAAGGAGGGGCCGTTGGGAGACAGACTGTGTTGAATCATCGGTGATGATTGATGATCATGATTCAATCAAAGTATACACATTGGATCATATTTCGGATGATGGGATCCACAACAATAAACCATCCCCAGGTGTCAAAGAAATTTCGACAGCTGTAAGTCTAACAAAAATATGGGATTGAACGCGTGATATATATATATACATACACATGCATATATATATATATACTAGTACCAAAGAAAACTGGGGGGGGGGGACGTTGATTGTAACAAAACATTTAGGCATATAATCATAGAATTTTAATTCGCAACAACTTGGGATTTATATTGGAATGGACATTTCAAGCAACACAGATTGCCAACGAACAGTGGGATTTTAAGCCGTCAATTGGGACTGACCAAGGCATCTGGATTTCAACTATCCAAAATGGGGGACTGTATTCCCAAGCAAGTAGAGATTCTGAATGGATGTAATCCTAAACCCATCAATGAAAAATTGGGGCCAATTCCCAACAATTGGAATTTTACGACGTATGGAGGGAATCGATGGGAAGCTCTCTCGCCCAACTATTTACAACCAAAACGTGATACATACATACATACATTACATTACATTACATTGCATTGCATTGCATTGCATTGCATTGCATTACATTACATACATTACATACATACACACATACATATATATATATAATTACGTATATATATATATATACATATGTATAGAAGGCCCATAATCACCAATCCAAACAGCCCCAACCCCAACCTCCCCGGAAATATCTTGGAACTTGCGATCAACTGCTGACGATTCGACTTGCAACTGACATAGTTCCCCGATTGGGATTCCTCATGATGGTCATCGCAAATTGTTTCAACCAGAAGATATCCGATATCCACAGATATCCACTCTCTACCATGTGTTCACGACCTACCTTAAGATTGTTTCAACCTGTTCATTTGTGAAATCTCCGTAACCCCCAACCACAGAAAAAAACACGTCATTTCCGATGGGTTTGTCTGAAAGGTGGGATACAGCCAGCATTTTTGGTGGAACCATGGGATTTTGGGACTCCAAAATTTGAGACAACCCCAATAAATTTGGTGAACCACTGAGAAGGGCGGACCCCAAGTTCGAAAGCATTGGGTTGTTTTCTGGTGATTAAATTTAATGGTGATTTACTGTAGTGAATTTCAATGAATTTCATTGGTGATTTGCGGGAATGTGTCCCCATGATGAGAAGCATCCACACAGCTCTTTCGAAGCAAGACGTCAATATCAATCCCTGAGGCGGCTGGCAACAGCCATGCCGCATCCTTCACTGCCATTGCCTGGAAGGACAGCTGAATGGGAAGCTGGGAAATCCGACCTAAATGGCATGTGAATGGGATGATGCAAAAATTGGGGGATATCTTCCGATCTTTGTTATGTTTGATTTTTTGGGTATCCAGAATCTCCAACTTCTGGTATTTTGACCGTTTGCCATGGGAAATCACTGGTTTTCAAGTCGAGATGTATCATCGAACCAAGTGGGCCATGGCTTCTGCAGAGGAAGGGGGACCTCGAGGGATACTTGTGGTGCAAAGACGAGGTAGCTCAAGAGAGAGATGGAGAGGAAGGAAATCATAGCTTTGGTGGTTGGGGAACCCCGTGGTTCTACTTTTGTAAGAACATATCACTTCCGGCCAGACAGACGTTTGAAGCGTAGTCTTTGAGGACAAGGTTTTTCCTGATAGAGAACTATGTAGTCTCCCCCTGTGAGGGGGATTACAGTAATTAATCTCAAAGCAGAATTGGAGGCTGGCTCATCAGGGCTTTTGCTGGTCAGATCCTGGTTTTGATTGTTAAACCCCTTCATTGCTGCTATTTTTGATGGGTGAAATCCTAGTTATTGATGCTCAAATCCTGATTTTGATGCTTAAGCTCCACATTTACTAGAATCCGACCATGGTTAATTTAAAACCACTTGCGTGGCAGGCACAGGCGGCTGGGGGTTGTGCAAGTTCTTTCCTCCTGCCTCCAGGGAAATTTGACTCGCACTATGTTGAACCATGTTGATCCAATTTTTGGGATAATTGAACCATGGGTTAGTCAATGTTGTCTACATTGCCTACAATTTTTTCTAATGTCTCTAGTTGGATATATTAATAGTTGAACTTCCCATTTTCCCACCTTTTAAGATCCAATGTTTGATGCTTGAAGCTGCTTCAATGGGAGGAGTTTGAGGGTGACTACGAACGGCTATTACAGTTGCTTGGTAGCTCGGCTCTCTGGAATTTCTGCAGGAGCTGGGCTGTGGGAACCACGTGTTACAGCCCTTTTGGGAGAAGGATGGTACCCCCAAATTTTCGGGGTTTATCATCATGTCCCTGATGGACATGGCAATTTAGGGGGATGTATACCTCATTTTCAGACCCAGATGGTAGGAAACCTCTCAGTTTCTGCAGGAGGCGCTTGGCAGCGGCCCGGGGGCTCTTCGAAGCTCACAGGGCTCTGAACGAAGACAACGAAGACGAAGAGGCCAGGCGCTCACCGGAGAACTGAAGCCACCGAGCAAAGTGGTGTATGTTGCATAATACATATATATATATACATAATTATATATATATATATATGCTATATATATATATATTATATTTATATGTATGCATATATATATATGTATATATATATACACAATAATGTAGCATATATATATAATGTACACATAATATAGAATGAACAATGAAGACATCATGTATATGTGACGCAGATACATGCTCAGATAAAGGGATGATGTAGATGTTGGCCAACAAAAAATCAGTTTTCAGCAAACAATATTTAGGCTTAACAAACAAATATGGGTGTATCCGCCACCAAACACGGGGAAGAATCTGGATATCATCTCCGAGAATAGATGAATTTGCAGTTGGTTGCCCTAATTCTTGAGTCGTTCCACTTGTTTTTCCTTGAAGTAGATGGTTCACCCCAAAACGGGACACAATACAGGAAAGGGGGAACGCTTAGTTTTAGGAGAAACATATTATTGCTGGGTAAATTCATCATATCACCATGGAATCTGCATGAAATCCGACTAAAACCCATTTAGAGCCCCCCAGACCGTCATGAAATTTCATGAAATCTTGGATCCCCAATCTTAGTTGAAGGAAGCGAGGAAATTGGGCCCACGAAACCACACCATCCTCGGCAGGCGGCTGGCCGTGGCCTGACGCGGGTGGACAACTGCATCCAGCTGGCGCGGGCGTTGCCGCCGGGAAGGTGGCCCTCCGAGCTGTTGAAACGATTGCCGGCCGGCATATGATACATATATTTACATATTTACAGGCAGACACATACATACATGCATGCATGCATAGATATATACATACATACAGACATACAAACAGACGGACGGACGGACAGACAGACATACAGACAGACGGACAGACAGACGGACAGACATAGAGACAGACATACAGACAGACAGACGGACAGACAGACGGACAGACAGACCGACCGACGGACGGACAGACAGACAGACATACAGACAGACAGACGGACGGACGGACAGACAGACGGATGGACGGACGGACAGACAGACATACAGACAGACAGACGGACGGACAGACAGATAGACAGACATACAGACAGACATACAGACAGACATACATACACAGACACACACAGACGTACAGACATACAGACATACAGACATACAGACAGCCAGCCAGCCAGGCAGCCAGGCAGGCAGTCAGGCAGGCAGGCAGGCAGACCGACCGACCGACTGACAGACTGACAGACTGACAGACAGACAGACATACAGACATACATACATGCATACACACATACATTCATACACACAAACATACTTACATTGCATTGCATTGCAATACATTACATTGCATTACATTACAGTTTTTCATTTTGGTACATTGCGTTACATTGCGTTATGTTACTTTAGGTTTCGTTAAGTGACCTTAAGTTACATTACAATACATTCATACATACATACAGACAGACATACATTACGTTACATTGCATTACATTACATTACACTACATCTACATTACATTACATTACAATACATTAAGTTACACTAGATTAAGTTACGTTACATTACATGACATACTTACATACATGCATACACACATCCAGACAGACAGGCTTGCACGCATACTTAGGTACTTACATATACATACGTACATACTTACATATGTGCAATACATAAATACGTAGATACGTGTATTCATGCATATATGCATACATGAGTACATGCATACATATGTACATGCGTACATATGTAGATACATACATACGTACATGCATGCATACGTTCATACATACATACAAACATACAGACAGACAGACATACATACATACATACCTACATACCTACATACCTACATACCTACGTACCTACGTACCTACGTACCTACGAACCTACGTACCTACATACATACGTACGCACGTACGTACGTACATCCATCCATCCATCCATCCATCGATGCAGGCAGGCAGGCAGGCAGGCATGCATGCATGCATGCATGCATGCACACATGCACACATACACAGACAGACATACATTGCATTGCATTACATTAGACTACACTATATTACATTACATTACTTACATAAATATGTACATGCTTACATACGTAGACGCATACATACATACATGCATTGCATGCATGCATGCATGCATACGTTCATACATACATAGAGAGATACATAGATAGGTACATAGATACATAGATACATAGATACATAGATACATAGATACATAGATACATAGATACATAGATACATGCATACATGCATACATGCATACATAGATACATAGATACATAGATACATGCATACATGCATACATGCATACATAGATACATAGATACATAGATACATAGATAGATAGATAGATGGATGGATAGATACATACACACATACACACATACACACATACATGCATACATGCATACATGCATACATGCATACATGCATGCATACATGCATACATGCATACATGCATACATGCATACATGCATACATGCATACATGCATACATACATACATACATACATAAATACATACATAAACATATATATGTACATCAACCTATAATGTAGGTGATTTTGTTTGAGATCCCGATGTTTTTTCCCTAGCGCCACAGGCTGATGGATGTTTTCCACTCCAAACTGGCGGAGGGCAACGACAAGGATGAGGCGAATGCTTCGGGATGGGGAGGGGTGAAAAATTGCAAGGGTCTCAGTTGATGGATTACTTACAACTACTAGATAATGAGGGTAAAACAAGAGTAAACAATCCATTTGGGAATGGTTTGAATCCCACCTATAAAATGATGATTTGGGGGATGGTTTATCATAGTTTTACCTACATTTCCTGTTTTGAAGTTTTTTTTTCCACAACAGCAAAACTTTACTATGGGTTCTTCAGCCCAGATTAGCTCCGGTGCGATCCGGTGCAGCTTCAACACCAGGTTCCGGACAAGGTTCCGGAGGGTTCTGGTGCAAATACCTTGTGAGGTTCCGGAAGTTTCCGGTACAGGTACTCGGTGAGGTTCTGGAGGGTTACGGTGCAGATACTTGGTTAGGTTCTAGAGGGTTTTGGCGTAGGTACCTGGTGAGGTTCCCGAAGTTTCCGGTGCAGCTTCCTGATGAGGTTCCGGAGGGTCTAGGTGAAGATGCGTGGTGAGGTTCCGGAGGGTTCCGGAGCAGATACCTTGTGAGGTTCGGGAAGGTTCCGGTGCAGAGACCTTGTGAGGTTCCGGAGGTTTTTGGCGGAGAAAATGCTTGGTGCAGATACCTTGTGAGGTTCCGGAGGGTTCTGGTGCAGATGCTTTGTGAAATTGCAAAGGGTTCCGTTTTTTTGTTTTTTGGCATAAGCAATTAATTTTTTATGGCATAAGCACTTTTTATGGCACAAACGCAGAAGCTTTCAAGCTGTTGGGGATAGCACCTGATTTTTTTTTTGTCGGACCAAAACTGGGATGACTGCCCTTAAACGTGGGGCAACGCCTGGGCGTTGATGCGGATGTCGCCGATCGCAGGTTCACTAAGGTCCCTATCATAAAGATTCCCACATTGAAACATTACCCTCTGGTAAACTAACATAACTATGGAAAATCACCATTTTTAATGGGAAAATCCACTGTTAATGGCAATTTTCAATAGCTATGTTAGTCATTACCAGAGGGTTTTTTTTGGGTCCCATTTGAGGCGGATCGTTTTCTGGTTGCGGTTTCTGGTGTAAGAATCTCCATTTATGCTGCTTATGGAGTGCAATTGGAATGGAATTTTTCACAACTCCATTTTGGTCAGTTCAAAACAAAATCCATCAAGTCGACAATTTCTTTTCCATTCCACAGAGGTTTCCCATCTGTTGCACTTTCCATCTGACTGTGACCTGAGGACGCTGGGGCACTTCGGAAGCTGCTGGAGGGTCGCGATGCTGGCGGCTGGCAGAGGCGACAGGATCCCCCGTTTTTTTTTCCCCCAATTTTTTCATTTTAACCAAGAACAATTTCCGTACCCTCTGGTAAACGAACGTAAGTATGGAAAATCACAATCTTTAATAGGTAAATCAACTATAGATGGGCCATTTTCAATAGCTATGTTAAATTACCAGAGGGTATATACATCAAACATCCGGGGTTTCACCAGTATGTGATGGAATGAATTGAGATACTGGTAAGAAGTGAAAAAAGTGATTGGTACCCCCAATTCCAATCAACTGGTGTTAACTCCCTCATTTTCTGACCGATCCAGACATCATTTGTTTATATGTCCCGCGAAATATGTCCATCAATATTTGCGCTTTATATCCCAATCTTGTCCCATTCATATCCCCTATGTCACGGATATCATGATTGGTTTTCAACCCATTTTTTTGTTGCTTAAACCCCTATTGATGACTGTAAATCCCTATGTTTTTTGGTTTATATCCCCAAAAAACGTTGCTGAAGTCCTCAATTTCTCAATTTTGGTTGGTTAAATCCCTTGTTTTCTTCGTTAAATCTCACTTTTTGTTGGCTAAATCCCAATGCTTGTTGGTTGTTTTTTTTTTGCTGGTTAAATCCAAAAAAAAACAACCACGGTTTTGTTGTTAAAATCCATATTTATGTTGACCAAATGCCACTTTTTTGCTCCAAAACATGGTCCAACATCTCAGCGCCACCTTGGGGGCCCGTTTTTCAGGCCGCCGGGTCCTCAGGAGCTGACCGCCGACGCGGACGAGCCGGCGGGATGGGTTTGATGCGATTTTCACCCAAATGGGGATGGGTCAAAATTATAGTCATCCCCAAATAGATGGAAAAGTAAATCAGCATGAAATTAGTAGATTTAGTAGGGATTGACTTTTCCATCTATTTGGGGATGACTATAGGTAGCCCAAGAATTGAATGGTTAATACTAAACTAGACATTCACATCTGTGGTCCCATTAATGGTCTTCCATTTTGACCCACATCCTTAAATGGGTTGATGGAACATCCCAAAATATCCCACGTCATCAAGTGGATGATGACGGATGATGACTGATGACTGGGCTTGAGCATCTTTTGGGAAGCCATTCAGCAACTATTTGAGGTACCATCCGGGTGTGACTCACCGCTCCTTAGCTCCGTCTTAGGGAATGGAAACATGGGCTATGGGTCAATACCTATAGATACATTTTTAGTGGGATGAACATCCATTTACCAGCTATTTTGGGGTTCACTAGGTACCAGGGTTTTGACCCATCCCCACATGGGCTATGAAAGGATTGAATCATCAGCCATTTTAAGCTATGAAGATTTCTGCATTGGACGCATTGGATGGGATCTTTGAGACAAAAAAATCGGCGAAAAAACATCCATCTTCCGACCGCGTGGGAAACAGAGGGGGACTTTGAAGATTGGAGATTTTTAATTCACCTGCTTCAATAGCAATGGTGATCTAATAGCTAATAGCTAATGGTAATATCTAATCATAGGTAATATCTAATGGTAATATCTAATAGATAATAACAGGTATTAGTGATGCTTCATTTCAACTGAAAAACCTTTCTTTTTCCAACCATCTATTCCAAGGACTTTCAGGGTTTCAGGTCGGGCCTCCCCAAATCCTGAGTCGCAGGTGCCGGCGATGCAGTCGCTGAAGGGTTTGTTCTCCTGCCGCACTGGCTGGTCTTGGAGTGTCTCAAGATTCCAAAGGTTCCGATGAAAAAGGGGCTTCCATCATCCAAACCAGGCCCAGTTTCATCAACCGGATGAGAATCCTGCCAGGCACCACCAATGTAGTCCACGGCTCATACTTGCGAGAGGTGCACGGTTTTAGCGGCGACGTTGGACCCGCCAAATGTAGACATAAGATTCAGGCAAAATCAAGCAATCAACAACCATCAAGAGTTTTGTCAACAAACGCACAAACAGCATGATCAAGGTGGCAAAGCAAACTCAACGTTGAGTGGTGGGGACGTAAGCTACACCAACAATGGGACAATGATCTGAAAAGATGAGCAGATCTATTCGGCAAGAAACACTCCTTGGCATGTCCTTACTGTCAAGCCCTCGAAAGCAGAGAGTCTTCAACCGCCCAACATTGGATGGTTTTTTGAACTTGCCAAAAGCTCCAAAAAAATCATTCCTCTCCTCCCAACCTCCCAAGCCTCCCAACCTCCGCTCCGGTGACCGTCCCCCGTTGGGGGAGACCCGCAGACCACCTCGGCGTTGCTTCGACGCCTGGAGCGATCCTCGCACGCCTCGGGCGGCGTGACGCTGGCGGAGCTGCGGCTGCCGCTGCACGCGGAGGGCGATGCCTGGGTGGACCTGGCGCGCTGGGCCAGCGACGCCGGATGCATGGGGATGGATGGGATGGGGATGGGGTTGGTCATGTTTGGTCAATTTCCACCATTTGTGGAACGGTGTGAAATCAGAGCTGGGATTCGGGTGTGATGATTGCAAGCACCAGAAATGGCATGTAAGCAGTAAGCAGCAGCAAAAAAGATAAACATTGAGGCTTGAGGGCGTGGGATTCTCTGGCGTCGGGAGTAGGGCGGAAGATTTGTACCATTTTTAATTGTTGAGGATTGGCGGGCAGGGGTGATCTGGGGATGTCAGGTGCGACCAGCAAAACTAAGGATGTAATCAGCACCAAATGGATGAACATGACATAACACAACATTTCTTTCGCTAGTCAAGATGACTTGGGCCGGTTGGATAGCTTGGGAAGTGGAGAATTTTTGAGCCTTTTTTGTGGGATCTGAACGGAGATGGTGATTTCACCATAGCCAAATGCACTAAGGATTTGGGATCCCTGAGCAGCCGCGCGTGTTGGGCCGGGAGCCATGGACGGACTGCTGACCCATCAGTCCCCAAGTATCTATCTTGGAAGCTGGAAGCTGGCAGAAGTTCTCTTGGATAAGATGTCTTAGGTAAATTTCCGTGTATTCAGACATGTAATATGTAGCAGAACGTAGCCATTAGTTTTCATGACATGTAAAAATCTGGGTTTTCGAGGCAATTTTTGCCTTCAAAAAGATCTAAGGTGGTGCAGTTGCCCGTCACCAGCTATGCGGCTCTGAAGGCCGAGTTTCAGCCGAGTTTGTCTCCAGACATGTTCTCCAAACAAGCCTGGCTGGACCACCCAAAAGTACATGATTAAGACAACCAACTACAGAACATCTGGGAGATTTTCAATGAAATAAGAAGAATCACTAAGAACAAACATGACATAAGCAGAATCACTAAGAACAAAAATGACATTTTCCATTACCAGCCAGGTTTGGTTTGCAGTACCAGCAGCGATAAATGGACCATGGCTTGATTTTCTGCGAGAAAACCGCCAGGGCCGACGAGCGATCCTGGATTATGGGGAGCTGTTGGATAATGCCTTTGGACCTTTGGTCAAACTGGCGTGGAAACCTAGGGGAACAGCAGAAAAGGGGAGAACCACCAGCAACGTTGAAGGTATGAATCAGCAAAATTAGGGATATCAGGATATCAGCCATAACGACCATGGAGTTCAAACTGGAACTCGGTTTGTATGGCCAATTTGGCCAAACTTGGACATGAACCTGGCAATGAGGAAGAGATTCTTGCAACTATTGTTCATGTTGGATATTAATCCGTCAGATAGCTCCTGAATCTCAGAATCTTTTTCACATGGCTTCAAAATCTCCCATTGATATCCAGTATACAATGGTTAGTGGTCTCATTTTTTTATTTTCAACATTTTCAACCCTATTTCTGGACCAGGTTTGAATATTTAAAGGTGAATAGGAACTAAATATTTATGCACAATAGTTGGTTGTATATCCAGTGTTGGTGAACTTCCTATTTGTCAATCCACGTTTTTCAACATGGTTGATGGTTAATTCCAAGTTGTTCACCATGTTTGATGGTTATTTGACATGGACCCAGAAAAAAAGGGGGCCCAAGGTAACAGAAGAGCCACATGGGGAGGCGCCGCGCTTGGCTTCGGGCTGCGTCCCAGGAAGTATGAAAAACCGTAAGTGGGTAATAAGATGTAATAAGTTATTAAGAATAAATGATAAGTAAGAATTCATAATCAAGAGTAAAAATAAGTAAGAAGGAACATTAAGGAACTATGATAAGTACTAGTAAGTCACAAGCCACATAAATCCATCTAAGCCATGTATACCCCAGTTATAGGCGATGGCTATAACTGGATCACTTCACCGATCAATCCACGGAAATGCATCGAACCGGGTTCGCCTGGTTCGTCTGATAATTTCCAATATTTTTCGATAGATTTTGCTGGTGTCAGCGTCTCATGAAATCTCACTCCCTAGATATGTAATCTATAATTATAATGATAATATCTATATATATATATATATACATACACACTGGTTGGTGCCTTGAAATATTGTTAAGTTTCAAGTGTATTTGGGATGATGATCCCCAATGACGGGCACTTGTATATATTTCATGGTTATCGCTTATCACCAGCCAAAATAGATATTTTACTCAATACACACTGGATATTCACGTCGCTTCGCGACGGCAACCGCCCGCACCGCATCGTTGGGCAGCCGCTCGTAACTGCCAATGATGTCGGCCATTGAGACCAAAAACATCCGAAAGTACTGATTGTCGGAAAAAAAAAAACGCGAAGAATTTGATAGCCATGTATAGCGGACCAACGCAGTTCAAAAAATAACGAAAAACATGAAAAAACGGCGAAATTGCTGTTATTTACAGTGTTTTTGCGCGGTGAGAAGCAGAAACCACTGCAAATACCATGGTTTTTGAGGGTCAGGTGGCCAAAAACACTGTAATTTACAGTGTTTTTTTAACCAACGTCAAAAAACACTGGTATTTACGATGTTTTCATTCACACCGTAACATAAAACAGCGTAATTTACGAGGTTTTTGGAAGTTTTGAAGCTAGCCGTCAAGCATGCAGAAAACAGAAAAACACTGTAAAAACAAGTGTTTCTGCTATCACAAAACGACGAAAATCAGTCCGAAAACGGGTCCAAAAACTCAAAAATCCGCCTCCGGGCCCGGCCACCTGCGGAACCGCAAAAAAAGATGTTGCAAACCAAAAAATTGAGGTCAAAAAGTTGAAAAACACGGGTTTTTTTCACTTTTCGCTTGCCGATTTTGGACGGGCGCGTTCACGAACAGGTGTCTTCCGTACTGTTTTTTACAGTGTTTTTTGAAGGCGAGCGTCACGACCTATCAAAAACAGGAGGTTTTGGCCGAAAAATGCCCCCCCCCCCAGGTAAACCTGTAACCTTTTACGGGTGCCATCCGGAAGATCACGCCCCAGCACCTTCGGTGCGGGCGGATTTCTATTTACACCTTATGTGTATATATATATATATGCACACACTGTAATATGTTATATATACAATATAATATTATATATACAGATACGTATATAAAATATGCACAGTGTATATATATATATATATACAGTGTGTATACACATATAAACATAGAATATACACTTCATATATCTACCATTCGCTAAGAGGTCTGGCTGAAGCTCCAAGAACTGCTGCATCACGTGGTGGCCTTTGAGCTGTCAGCGTGCGGGAGCCAACAGCTGAGGCTAAGGGAACGGTGATGAGGTGATGATGAACGTGGGTTTAACATGGTTCAATAGACTTTAGTATAGTTGATATGATTGAATATGATTAAATCACCATTAAATCCGGATTTAGTAGGGTTTTACCCATAAGTGGTTGATTCATAGTGATGAAAGTTTATATTAAACAAAGGATCTACTAATTTCAATGTTGTTAAATTGCTATTGACGATATTAAGTTGTTGGTGTTTTCAGTTGTAACCACTCGCAACATCTTGCACCTTGGAGATACAAGTGGATATATTGGGAGAAGAATAAGTATGTATTTACCATTATCTATCTACACTCATATATGTGCATGTAATGTAATTCAACGTACTATATTGTAAATGTACTGCACTGTACTGAACTGTCGTGTAATGTAAGGGAATGTGAAGTCATGACATGTATGTAGTTTTCGACTTTTGTAGTATATATACATTCTTCTATGTGCAGACACACACACACATGTATGTATACATATATGTAAATTACGGTATATTTCCCACAATATATATATATATTTCGGTACATAGTTTATCGTCTATGTCTCTGTTTATCTCAATATACCACCAGCTACACGGCACCCAGGTGCTTAGCTGTTACGGAGCCTCTGAACGGAGAGGTGAGCGCGGTGGGCGTCACCATGGCCTTCCTTAGCCTAATGGGATGGGATATGTCGGACATGTCATGGATTGATATGGATATAATTGGTATATATATATATATACATATAGATATGGATAATCCTAACTTTTGGCCAAGCTGAATGAGTTTCCGAAAACTTTTAGCCAACTGGATAGATGGGTTTTCCTAGCTCATATCAAGCTATATACGCAAGCAATGTGGGGAAACAACCAATGGGGATCCAAGGCGGATATCGTGGGATCAATGGATGGTGCGCTTGGCTGCTGAGGCTGCTGAAAATGGCCCATTTGTAGTTGATTTGCCTATGAAAAGTGGTGCTTTTCCATAGTTATATTAGTTTACCAGAGGGTAGAAGAAACCATCACATGAACAGTTGGGTGCTACATCACATTGCAAGTGTGGGACTTGCATCATTATGACCTTAGAACTCCCCCTGGTTCAAGTCCTTATTCATTGAAACTCATGTGGCCACCCTCCAAAAAGATCTGTTTGATCATGTTCACAGACAACAACAAATTAGTTGATGGCCCCTTTCACCGAACCAATCCGTAGAAAACTTCTTCCAACTGCGTTGCACATTTCACAGGGCTCCAAGCTACGGTAAAGTACCCAGTAAAGGATAGCCACCTTCGGAGGGTACCGTGGTGATTTACCTCGCGGGATCCAGGTGCCAGAGCCTTCGGAGTGGAACGAGTCTCATAGCCCTCCCTTGGCGTTGGAGGGCCCAGAGGTGTGAAACATGCGAAGAATTCTATGACCAGCGATTCATAGCCATTGATTAACCATCACCAATAGGGATTTACCGGGATTTCACGGGAAGATTTTAATCTATTTTATGGGATGTACAACCAAGCAATCATCGCGTAGTGTTCAAAACCCCTGTTGCTTGACGATTATCTGGGAAGCGGGGGTAACTACTCAATGTAATTAATGGGGATTGTCATAATCCATCATAGGATTTCCTTTTAACCAGCCAGTAGAATGGAACAAATCAATGACGGGTTAGTAAGGGGAAGCAGTTTCTTAGTTGATTCATCTCAATTCGGGTTTGGACGCAGTTCTGGATGAGGATATCAAAATTGCCTGACACTTTTGGGATGGGCTTAAAGCACTGCTTTTGGGTATTCATGTGGCTTTGACTGAAGATAGGATATCCATGGATATCCTCAAAATCTATCATCATCTCATGGTTGAGAAAACCATTTCCCCATCATCAATAGCCAATCCATTATCGGCCATCCCAGCTCGTTTGGACAGGTCATTGGCCAACCTTCAGGGTCTTAAAATATGTTTTTGGTTGCTCCCAGTCATCCCATACTCCTTGATGGTCCCATGGCTCAAGCCCTGGTGAGGTACCAGTTCTACCACCTTTGGGCCAGACTCAAAGGACAGGTTTTGGCTGTGGAACTGCAGATGATTCGCAGGACACAAAACGGAAGCGAAGTTCGCAACGCAAGAAAACTTAAAATGGGAAGCGCAATTCGGGTAATATACTGGTAATATGTAGATATATATATATATATAACAAATGACTCAATCAATATTCACAATCACTTGCTAAGCAGGATGGTGTTGCTTTCTTGGCACTGCCGCAGGCCTGAATTGCGCCCGTGCCCGCTCCAAGCAGAAGGCTGGTAGCATCACCCAAAACCCTACGGGTCGTGCGGGGCACGAAATTTGGATCAGGCTCGCCACAGAAATCTAATGGCACATTGGTATAGCATTTGGGGATGCTTGGAAAACCAAGTGATTAATATTAATACTAAATTAATATTAGTATATATATATATCCTAGTCGTTACTCAGTGTCCATCTGTCTCAAAAGTAGGATTTTCACGCGCATTTTCACAACGGGATCACATTGTTTGCCTCACCTTTTCAGGAATTGGGGCTGCGGGCCGCTGCAGGGAAGCCTGGTGACAGTTCTCGTGGCCGCTCAAGATGGGGCATGAAAAAACAACAAGCCTGGATTTGGGCTATTGGCAGTACCACCCAGCCAATTTTTTCTGGCTTTCCGATTTTGATTCGTACTAATTCAAATTATCATGTATCCCAATTTTAAGAACGAGACGAATACATAATATAGAAGTAGCAATACATCGCATATGTTAAATGACACACACACACACCCATATGTATATATATATATATACATATATATATACACACATATATATATATACATATATATATACATATATATATACTTATAATTACAGTACCAATATACCCATACGAAAACATAGAAATCCAATCTACCTCTGCTCCCCCCGAAATCACCTGGCGCGTTTTCGACATTTCAATCGAGGCCTCGTCACCCGAGGCGTTGGTTGGGAGCCCAGCTGGTCCACCATGAGCCTGAATGTGGGGTCCCCACGTTTTGAAACAACCATGGTTTGGAAACAGTTAAAACATACTTTCATGGCGATTCATAGGGATTTAACATGATTTAACCAACAACAATGGGGATATTGATGGGAATTAGCCTCTGGTTATTTGTTACATAGCCATGGTATAGATGGTCCATAGAAATAGGTGGTTTACCGTTCTTAAAAATGGTGGATCTTTCCACGGCAATTTTTGGACAGAGCTCTGATTTCACCAATCGTTGAAGATGTTGAAGTTACAAGCAAAAGCCAGAAGCCATTGCATGTAAGATATATACACATGTGTATACATATATAGATAGATACATGCGATACTCTATGCATACCTACATATTGAATCATATTGATGTGTTACATACAAATACTTATGCATATTAATATATCCATATATATATAATACATGCACAAAAAATATCTATATGCATATAATTGTATATATACACATAAACACACACGTATATGTATATGTATATTTGCATTACTGCGTCGACCGTGCCTCGAGGCCTGTGCCTACCTCTTAGGCGCCTCATCAGTCAGTGGGTCATGGCCCTGGGATGGTGACCGCGCATCGCTCGGCCACGAAAAGTGAGGGAACCCCCGCAGAAACATGGCATACTTATGGCATACATATAGGAAGCATACGGGATAGTTCTGGGAGAATTATGGGCAAAATTGACCATGTAAGGACAATTTTGGGATGATTATCACATGATTATGGGATGATTATGGGAAAATGTGGGATTATGACCCGATGACCATAGGAGATTATGGGAAAATGTTGAGATAGATGTAATGCAATCACCCGCAGTTTTGCTTTATGAACTTGGATATACCCTTCCAAGTGGGATTGTCCAGCTGGAAAAATATCCCATTCATCCCCCTTCTGACCATGGTACCTTCGCCGAGGTGCGGCTCCTTGAGCTCTCATCTGCCCTTGCAGCATCTTGGCGGCCAGCGACGCGAAAAAGCCATGAAGACACATGGATAGTTTGATCAGCTCAGTGAGAATTGTGAGAATTCCTTGGCATTTTGGAAAAACAGAAAATCTTCCATCGGGTTCATTTTTTTTTCCACTGAAGCATGGTTCTTTCGATAGGCCGATCATTTCTGGGATGTTTTTCCGCCGAGCATAGTTACATTCTGTAGTTTTTTGGCTGACGTGTCTTTGGCCAGTTGGGACTTTTCCAGTGACAGACATCACTCGGATCCATTGGAGGTATCTGTATATGCTGGACCAGGTTGGTGTGGCTGTCGGGCACCCAGCACAGTCGTTGGTACTTTGTGTCTGCGTCACTTGCGCAGTGGCCCTCACCCGAGTTCATTTTCTGTTTTATTTTGCGGGTGCGGATTAAGGCCGGTACGTCAATCACATACCAGTCACCGCCGAATGATGGTTGTGTTGTTTTTTTTTTTTTTTGATCAAGAAATTTGATGATGATTCTGTAGGTGAAAGCAACAAGAACAAGGCCTCAAACCACCATGGCTTTGAAACTGCTTATCCCGAGGTATCACAGTGCTCCAAGAGATCTTTGGGCGAAGCCCGGGGCCCGCCTTGATGGCTTTCTAGGATGCTCTGCTTCACCTAGGCCTTTGAAACTTGGAAGGACACACCACTCCTTGATCTTAAGCATGTCAAATGTGATTTCTTGTAGAACATCCACCAACCCAGGTGATTTATATTGATTTCCATTGATTTCCATTGATTCAAGTTCTCATTTCTCCCTTGTTTTTGTGCCATCAAAAACCATGCTTTTTTCCGCCATCTTTTTTAGGAACCCGCCAGAACTTCCAGGGCCATTTCCAGGGCCCCCAAGGCCGGTGCACTTCAGAAGCTCTTCACGCATGGTCTGAGGGTGGCCCTCTGCACTGAGGTGCTGCCCTTGGAATCCTGGGTGGCGTGAATTTTTCGGGGGACGTGCAATTGCAACATTTTTTTTTGAGGTGGATATATATATATACATATACATACATATGATTATATATATATATGATATTTTTTTTTAACTTTATATAACCAACAACATGGGAATATCTGGCAATAGATGGGTGGTGTTTCACCAATAGAATTGGGAATTCAGAAAAACACGACCAGTTTTTGGACGATTCATCAAGCGTTTGTTTCTGGAAGGAAAACATCGTAACTAGTCTGAATGAATGCCTCAGTCTTGGATGGCCATCTTTATGGAGGAATACTGCGCAGGATTCATTTCATTTCATCCCCCGATCAGAAGCCACCATAAATGATATATATATATTTATAATATAATATACTATACTATAATATAATATAATATAATACAATATAATATAATATAATATGATATGATATAATATGATTTGATATAATATAATATGATATGATATAATATAATATGATATAATGTAATATGATATAATATAATATGATATGATATAATATAATATGATATGATATAATCTAATCTAATATAATATAATATATGATATGATATATATATGGGAACTCCAAATTCAATGGATGGGTTTTGTTGGGGAACATCTACAGGAAACCACGGGTTTTTTTGGTGCACCCCAGGATCCAGCGGTGTCGCATTGGAGTGACGATCCGCTGGGTCAGGACAGCCACAACGGCCTGGAATGGATGCTGTCGCCTCTCAAACATGGCAATTGGAAAGCACCTACAAATGGAGGTTTTAGTAAGGGAAAGTCAGGGAAAAAAGGGATGTTGAGTTACTTGAATTCGATGTTTTTCACTGTTTCGAACACAATTTGCTGACACAGAGCCTATTTTTGACCAGATTCTCACCGTCCATGGTCCACGTTTGATGCCCGCTGATCCAACGAAAAGACCTTAAATGGGTATGTCCCAACCAGCAGCTGCCTTTCACCTCGTGGATGGTTTCCCTACCGACCCGTTTGGAGAAGGTTGATGGTTCCCAAACGGTTCTGGGGTCTGTTTTTTGAGCTCACTGTTTTTGCCAGGTTGCTCCAGCGGAAAGTCAACATCTTCAATGAATGGCGTGTTTTTGCCCCTCATTTCAACTTATCTTTCCAACATCCATCTTTTCCCAGTTGTGTTTGGTTGCGAATTCAATGTTCACCGTTTCCCCTAGTTTTTTTGGGGGGGCAAAAGATTCCCGCTGGTAGTCAAACATGGCTGGCTGGTAAATTCCCCATGAAGTTCGATGATCGGGAAATCCTCGCTGTGAGCCCGTTTCATCCACTTTTTTCGAGGCAACACCTATCAAACATGTCATTCCAAAAGCCTCAATATCCCATTAAAGTTCCATTATTCAATTATTATATCATGCATATTCCATCATATTCCATGAGTATGGAATTATTAATCATGCACAATGAATATTCCATGGAATATTCCATGCATATTCCATGGATATTCCCTCAAGATTCCACTCATATCCCCATGGTTTCATCCAAGCCATAGGAGTATGGCCTGGCACATTCTGCCGGCTTCTCCAATGCAGACCTCGCGGAGTTGGCGCGCCCGGGATCTCAGAGCCGGAGATGGATCTGGCGGTTTCTTCATGGAGCCCCGTTTAACGATGGGTTTCAATACTCAAATGAGTGACAACAGGACTTTTATTTGGTTCAATGGAGAGTAGTATTGGGGCGTACCGTACCCGGTACCCCGGTTTACTGAAAACATCATGATTAAGCCGCAAAACGAGGGGAGAACGAGGTAGGAACAACCCGTCAACTACGTTAGGAAATCTCCATATGGATTGAAAGGGGAAGTTGGGAGACATGGGAGACCTGATACTGACATCCAAAATCATTGGAATGGTTCAAGAATCAGGTAAAGTCATGTAAAGTCGACAGTCATCTCAGGAAATCATCAGAAACGACGGTTTTTTTCCCAGTCAATCTGGCAGGTATCCTAGTATTGCTATGTGGCTTGAGGCAACTCCCAATGGATCTCCTCCTTTGAGTCCTTTGCGCGGGAAGAGGAGAACGTGGAGGAGCAGGACTGGGCAAGACATGTGGATGAGCTGAGGGGACCCAGGAAATTCATGGAAATTCCGGGGATACCAAACTTTTTGCGAGCTGCTATATATCCGCAACAGGGGTTCCTGTAGGAAACCATGGTGTATATTTTGTTAGCTCCCAATTGTGCTGGAAAGTTGGTGCCGTGTGCTTTTTTTTTGAAGCATGCACCATTTTCCAGGCCATAGATGCCAGATATTTGTGGATGATGGGCTACCTCTTAAGTCATCAAAGTCTAGGGTAGCCCTCTAGGGTAGTTTTGATTGGAGCTGGTTGGTCTTGTTGAGGTCAAACTGATTCATCCCCAAAAATGCCCCGGAGATTGGTGGGTCCGGCTGCAGGAGGCCATGGGTTGGGAGCTTCAGATGCCAGATTTTTCGTGCAGCAGCTCCAGCTCCTTATTTCTGCCGAAAAAAATTAGTAGAACCCCATTGACTGGATGGCGAAAAACCAGAAACCGGTCACAAAGGTCCCACTGTTTCTTTTCTTCACATCGAAGATGGGTTCTATTCCCATGGGATGATCCTCGGGAAGGACTTTTGTATTTTTCAAGGGGCCCAGGAAGCATCACGACCCTGGATTTGATTGGAACTTCGAAAACGTGCCTGGTTTTCGCAGGAATTTTCCTCAAAAAATCCACCCATGGAGGCTTCTCCACCACTCCTTGGCAACCTCTGAGGTCTTCGTGCCCGCTATCGTCGTGCACAGCGACAGGAGGAGTTGGGGGGCCTAGGAGAAAGTAGGTCGATCGCATTAGGTGAAGGGGATATGGCCGAAGTCGGGGTACAGCCAAAATATCCCATCATGGCAAAAACAGTGTTTTTTTATTGTTTAATTAGTGGTGATATAATAGGGGGATCATGTTGATACAATATGTATATATATATATATATATATACATAAATATATTTAAATGGGGATCTTTTGCGATGATTCAATGCGGATTGAATGCCGATTGAATCATTCATAGGGATATATAGCGAATTAATGGCATCTTTTTAGTCTATATATGGTACATACGAAGACCTAAGATTTCAGCCATGACATGGATGATCATTAGATTCCCAAGGATGTTCAATTCAGAAACCATCTCTTGTCGTTTCCCAAAGTTTGCCAAAACCCCGCATGTGGTCAATCTTCAGGTTGCAACCCCCGTAGTTGTGAAGCACCAGAACCCGAAGTCTTTGGTTGGTGCTACATTTGTTGCAATGTAGCACCGATTCGAACCGTAGCAGCTTGCTGAGGATTGAGTTTCTGAGCAGTTTGATCCCTGACAAAGATCAGAATCACCTTTAAAGAGCCTCAGGGTCGCTGGAAGAATCCTTGAATCAGACCTGCAAGCTGCAGAATGGCAGATTCCCTTTCATGTACACATATTTCCGATAGACAAATTCTTTGATACACAAAAAAGGCGACCTAAAATCTGGTCGCCCAAAGTGCCCAAAGTGGCCCGGCTGCCGCGTGCTCTCCGTCAACAGGACGGCGTACCAGACACTGCGCCCAAAGTGGGGGAAACAACATATGTAGCAACTGAGATAGTGAAACATAGTGAAACTAACTACTGTAACTACGAATCCAACATACAATGCTATAATCTATAATTTGTACTAGTCACTAATGAAGATTGCGACCACATAAGTCAAACATTACTTTAAAGACAACTCTCTTTTTTTGCCAGTAATATCGATTTGATATGATTTAATAGTCCAAAGTTAGCTACGTCACACTCAGAAAAGCATCATTTGTAGGACGATGAATTTGTGTCAATTGATTGGTAGACATGGTGAATGGGATCACTGGGCTTCAGAGATCCTGGTATGACAACGTGCCAAACGTGCCATTCGCATAGCGACGAGCGCATATCATATGCGCCGATGCTATGGAGCTTCCAGGGTAAATCTGCAGCACCAGGTACAACATGACTCCCAATGGTCCACAGCCCGTTGATGGGAATGTACTTTCCTCGTGGATTTAAAGTGGGTTCCCCACATTCGACGCGTCCCAAAACCAGCCAGTCCTAACGTGGCGTTGTCAGTGCGGCTGTAAACGATGGGCGGTAGCGCCCCTGCGATTTCGTTGGACTGTGTGCTGACATGATTCGAGCGGAAATGCATCAGCTTGTAGTTGATTCATCGTCCTGGCACCACCATCAATCCCCAGCGTTGCGGCTTCAGATGCGCTCGACGCCTCTGTGTATTCAAGCGTTGTTTCGCTGAAACAAACGATGGGGATGGGAATGAGGATGGGGTGGAATATGTGTTTGATTTGTGTATAGTATATATACGTGCATATATTTGCTAATATGTACATTGTATATCATACACATGACATCTATACATACAAAGTCAAAATACGCATTTCATGCATGGATATGTACGCTTGCGCATATCATACATAGACCACATGAACCAAGTGCAGAAGTGCACATATCCAAGAGCGCTCAGTTGCTTCTTGCCATTCAGTTCTCGACGCTATTGTTGCCGTGGTTGTGGCTGTCATTCTGATTGTCACTATGCTTACTCTATGCTTGCTTTAGTTGCTTCAGGTTCCTTTGGTTGCTCCTGGGGGTGGTTGCTACGACTGCTGTGCTGATTGCTGCCACTGTTGCTTCTGCTGGTGCTGGGGGTGATGGAAGTCTGTTCCACCCAAAGACGCGTCCGCATGTCTCATTTCATCAATCTTACCTAGCTGTGACTTAGCGACGGCAACATTTGGAAGGCACACCTGTCAGGGACCCTCCCAGCGACCTAGAAAACATGATTGACAAAGGGCCTATAAGGGAATATTCAAGCGCTTGGTGGTGATTCCGTCCGCGTACTTTGAAAAGCAGATGAAAAAACTGGGCGTTTCCTTCCAATCAACAATGGTTCTCTACTCTTCTGCAAGATTGGTGGAGAACAAGTGGGAAAAATAGTGTGTTCACACTAAGGAGCACCAGCGGTATTTTTTGCAACGGTTGGTCGGTGTTTTTATCCAACATCATTGTGTGGGGTTCTTGCTTTCCTGTTCTGCAACCGGCCCCCACCTTCTCCTCCTCTGCCGCCTCCTCCTAACAAAGTCCGATTCAGAAACTCCGCTGTATTAAGGAAGCTCGCTTCAACAGCTCGACGCCGTATTCAGAAACTGGTCCGGATCGAAACCTAGTACTAGAATACTACTCGTACCACGATTGCGGGGATGAACGTCCTCAATTCAGAACCTGGACGTCCTCTTCGAAACTATGGTTACCGTATTCAGAAATTGTCGCCTCGTATTCAGAAACAATCGTGTCGTATTCAAAAATTATTGTCTCGTATTCAGAAACTATTGTGTCGTATTCTGAAACTACCTGGTCGTAGTCAAAATTCTGGATGGTTGGCTCAGGGTTGCTTTAAGTTTCGTTTAGGGTTGATTCGGCTTGCTTCAGGTTTCGACATGAAATTTTGGTTTAAGGTTGGTTTAGCTACTTTATGTTTATGGTTTGTTCAGGGTTTTAAGGGTCTCTCTCAAAGGTCGGTTTAGGGTTTCCTTCCGTTTGGGTTAGGCTTGCTGTAGGCTTGGTTTAGGATTTGTTGAGATTGGTTTAGGGTTACCTATGGTTACCTTATATAGGATTTGTTTGCGGTCTTGGTTTGAATGAAACAGATTGTAACAGCGGATGAGAGAAAAATGAACAGCTGCTTTGTGCCGCGAAAGCTCTGCTGCTGCCATGAATGTTTTCGACGTCTAAGCAATGGCCTTCGTGTCGGACACTGCCCACGCCATACAATTTTTTTCTGAACGGACTCTGCCCATCGGTAGGAATCGCAATTGAACATAATTGAACCACACCTGAGACTTTTTGAGAATGAATTATTGAACAGTGACAGGTTTCCGTTGGGCTTACGTAGCTAATTAGAACCATCATTTCCCTTTGATCAAATCAAATTTGTGTGCGAGGTGGCAGCACTTTCTTTTCTACACGCTTCCACCAACAGATCAGCCGCGCGAATTGGAACCAATGAACTTTGAGGAGGCCAATGAACTTTCTGACCTTCAATCCAAAAAAACATTGTTTCAAGTCGACCGAACAAAAAAGCACGAGCAAACCATATCCCCCAGAGAGTCCGCATGCCTAGTCATCATTGAAAACAATGCCTTCATCAATTTCCCATAGCTTCAACGACGCATACCAAAATAGTATTCCTGTTTGGTTGTTCGAGACATTCGCAGCTTACCTCATCCCGGCAACAGGAACCGGAGAATGCCGGAAAAAATAACTGCTGCGATGACAAATGCTAGGGCCTTACCATGGGCTTTGCTGAGCATCGCACTCTTCGATATTTTTGAGCATTTTACAGCCTGGTACTGCCTGATCAAAGCAGCAAACAACCAGACAAGGTGAGGGAAGTTGGCATTGGACTTGCAGCGCTTGAGGGCTGGCCCGGTCCAACATATTCCAAAATAAGATATACCTTGGCTAAACGATGGCCCGGTCCACCATGGCCAAAGGCAACAGAAATCAACAACCCTTCACGTTCCAAGGTCGTACCGATATAGGAATCTTTTCCACATTGGGGTTCCCTGAATCATGAATTTCCGTACAGAGATTGGAATTTGGAAAGGGTTTTGCGGACACCTTATTTTGAGAAACATGTGTGTTGGAGATGGAATGTGAGATGGGCCAGACGATGTCTCTGTTTTGACATAGAGAGAAACATCACACCAAAAAATCGAGAAAAACTACCGCTGACCCGCAAACAAATCAGATGTTTGATGTAGCGCTCGGGGCTACCGGCCACATGGCACCCGATTTCTCACAGTGATGCCAAACATCGAACTTTACTGCAGCTGGAAAGGGTTCAGAAAACTCTAGGATATCAGTCAGCGTCAGCGTCACGTTTCCACTTTGTTGGGTCATGCCTCGATCGCAAGAAATGCATTGTAAACCTGCGACCGTCCAAGGGATGGTGAGAGAAAGAAAGAAGTGAAAGAAGGTAAAACGATCTTCGGGCCATGCCCGAAACAATTTGTGAAACAAAGAAAACACTCCTCAAAAAATGCAAATTTGAAACCCCATAGTGACCGAAACCCAATTGGATCCTGTTTCACGAGGGCGTGCCCTTGACACTTCGTTAAACAATCCTTTGATTCCCCGAGTGCCCTTGAACCATGCAGTGCCAGTGCAAGTAGCTTGTTCCATTTTTTTTTTGCGGGTAAAAAACAGTGCTACGAATGTATCATGATTGTGCTCTGCGGTATGATCAAAGCTCGCTTCACGGAGGACAAACGAATAAGGTAGACATGTTTGGTTCAAAACGAATCCACACGCCCGAGCCGGATTGAAGGGCTGCTGTGGGCATCAGGACAACCGTTGAGTCCACAAACCGACCGGAACATTTTCTGAGAAACAATTGTGCCAGCACTACTCAGGCGCACTTTTGCTACGCAGGGTTGCACCACTGCTGAGGCCATTCATGCAAAGATTTCGATTGTGCGTGTCTGTTGTCTGACATGAAAGTGGCCATGCGAATTGGCCCGCTACTTGGAAAGTTACCGCCTGGACATTTGTGAAAAGTCAAGTGTCGCACCTCATCTTGGTAGCACATCCTCATCATCCAATGTCGGTGATAAAGCGCCATAGCACTCTCAGCTGCATATGCTTCATGTTTAAAAAAACTACTGTAGCTGTCAGACCTTCCATGACGCAGGCAACGGTTGCTCACCACTTTGCATCCTACAGGCTGCACCCTGGAATGCTTTCACCTCGTGCATCGTTCGGATATATTGTGCCACTTCTTCCCAACTGCATGGGCCTCTGCTTTAAAGGAAAAAAAAACAACATGTTCGTTTTGAAAACAACTGTGGGGTGGAGGGGTTGGAGATGAGCAGCTGCACCACAACACCTTGGTCACGCAGGGGCGGTAGGGGACGTAGGGGATGTAAGGGACGTAAGGGACGTAAGGGACGTAGGGAACGCAGGGGACGTAGGGGACGTAGAGGACGTGGTCACGTTGCTGCACCGACCCAATGACACCAAGAAGATCAAATTGGTTCATACCAAATTAAAAAGGTTCGTTCACAAAAGGAAAAAAATATAGTGCCAATATTATTTGAGATAATTTTTTGTTTTTTTTTCCCCACCTGCCAGGTGAGGGTTGTTAGATTTTATCAGAGCTGTTCTCCTCATCATCCTCCTCCTCCTTCTCCTTCTCTTCCTTCTCCTCCTTCTCCTCCTCCACCGCCTCCTCCTCTTTCTCCGCTTCCAGTTTCTCCTCGACCATGTCTGCATCCAATTCCACGTCCACTTCCGCCACTTCCATGTCCACTTCCGCCTTGCCAACTCTTCGCCAATCTCTTAGCCAACTTCTGCGCGCAGTGGGCACTGCTGGACCTCAACCGCCAGGTTCCGAGCGCAGCGGGCACCGCTGGACCTCAACCAGGGACCTTCAGGAGCTCAGTGGGCACCGCTGGACCTCAACCTGGGACTTTCCGAACTCAGTGGGCACCGCTGGACCTCAACCTGAGACCTTCCGAGGTCAGTGGGCACTGCTAGACCTCA